CTCTGCAAGAACATCTGTACTGCTGTATTTATCCCCTGCTAAAAAAGGTATAAAAATGCTGTAAAAACCAGTAAAGACAGACTTGCTTTGTACTTCCTTATCTCTCTGAGAATATTTGTAGAGCTAATCCTGAAAAATATAAAAACGACACTTGTGCACAGTAAAGACAGGCTTGATTGCACCGACTCAAGTCTCACATCCCCTCCTTCACTGTGCCGACTCCGTCTCTCCCTCAGGAACCTGGACTCTGCTGGAGCTGGACTCCGGCATGTGGTCACCTTGGCCCAGCTCATTGCCCACAGGTGACAGAACTAGTCTCAGGAAACTTTGGTCGACAAAAATCTGTTTGAGGTTCGTTTCAGCTCTGACTCTGCGTGCAGTTTCCAAAACAGCAGCTTTCCATACACGTTTCTGTAGTCTTCCCTCCCTTCCCTCACCCCACCTGTCCTCTCTGAGACTAACACGTCAGCTTTCCTCCTGCTATGCTTTAAGGTTTCTCACAGCACCACTGAGGCCTCAGACTGCCCTCCTCCCCCTGCACCCCAGCCCCTGCACTCTGCCCCCTGACCCCATGTGCTCCTGCTCTTGGGCAATTTATAAACAAGGAGGAGATTAAAATCTTTCTCCTCCTGACGCTGACTCCCTGGACAAGCCTGCCACAGGGAGGCAATGGGGCTGGTTTTGTTGCCTCACAGACCCCCATGCCCCACCCCAGCCTCTACAACCTCGACTGGAGAAGAGGGCATCAGCATCTCACCCCTTCCTCTCAAAGCCCCAAGAGAGGAGGGGTGAGGGTCTCACCCCTGCTCACACCACCTGCAGCAGGATCCCGCCAGGGGGCCTCAGGCCTTCCCCAGCTCCCACAGGCGCTGCTTGACTAACAAGCAGAAAGGTCCACTGGGAGACTAGTGGCAGCACCCCACCCCTTCAGGCGTTCTCACATCTGCCCCCTCCTGCTTCACCCTCCTCCAAAAAAGAAGAATGTAGAGGGAAGTTCTCCTGTAGGGCTGACCCAGTTCCTGCCACAGAGTATTTTTCTGCAAGTCACTGAGCCTGGTTTACTGCCTCAGTAAGATGAGAAGTGGGGAGGGCAGATCTGCGCCCAGGTCCCTTCGGCTCAGGGTCAGGTAGGATTCTGTGAAAACTAGCATGTTTGAGGGTCTGGGAAATAGAGGAGGGGCCTCAGGGCAGGGGAGCAGATGATGCTGAAGAGGTGCTGTGGGCCTTGAAAGTGTGGGACTTCCTGAGGGTCTCGGGCTTGTCGCAGAGTGGGAGCAAGGGCAGCCAAGTAAGAGCACGCCTCACAGGCCTGCTTGGTGGCGTGAGCGGCCGCAGGGCCAAGCAGGAGCAGAGACGGGCTGAAGCCAGGACAGTCTTCCAAGGGCGGCGTGCACCTGGTCTGGGGGTAGCAGTAGGGCTGGGAGGGCTTCATGGAGGTGGTGGAGGTTGGAGGAGGGGTGCTGAGAGCCTAATGATCCCATATTTCCAGTCAGAGCCTCACGTGTGAAACTGGTACCATCAAACGAAGCAGGGTTCATTTGGCCCGTGTTTATGATAGTTTGTGGTTCCAGGAGGGGAGAGAGAGCTGGATGGACCACGTTTCTTTGGCCACCAGGGGAACCGAGGGCTGCTCCCGGGAGGGAGCCTCCCCAGCCCTCAGCCAGCAAAGCCCAGGGCACCTAAGTGTACAACGGCTGCCACATATTTTTGTGTTCTTGCTGCTTTTAGTTTCTAATTTTTTTTTCACTTTTTTTAAGATTGGCACTTGAGCTAACAGCTGTTGCCAATCTTCGCTTTTCTTTTTCTTTTCTTCTTCTTCTCCCCAAAGCTCCCCTTGGTACATAGTTGTATATTAGTTGTGAGTGCCTCTGGTTATGCTACGTGGGACGCTGCCTCAGGATGACCTGATGAGTGGTGCCATGTCCACACCCAGGATCCGAACCGGCAAAACCCTAGGCCACCAAAGTGGAGCGCGCGAACTTACCCACTCGGCCATGGGGCCGGCCCCAGTTTTCTAATATTTTGCAGCAAGCAGTCTTCTGTACTAAGCACACAGGGTATCATGGTTTGTGTCTGGTCTTCACGGCATTTTTTCACCTTTATTTCTGTTTGGAGCATATTTTCAGCACTGGCCTGGGCACTGCCAAATAAAGAAAACTTGGATGATATTGTTAGAGGCTATGTATTTTATAATGGTAACTGTAGAAGGAAAGAAAAAGATGAAAAAAGAAAGAAGGGAGGAAGAAACGAAGGAAGGAAGGAGGAGAAAGGCACTTGTTCCTCTAACCACTTGGAGGAATTCTGAGCCACAGAACAGTAGGCTGACAGCAGATGCTTCCAGTTGTCAACTAGGATGGTGCCACCGTGTGGCAATAACCCAAATACAGGGAGAATTCACTCTGCCTATCCACCATCAGCTTTAAGAATTTTAAATTCTTGACACATTTAAAAACATTTGTGATGCACATTATTTCAAATTTTGGGCAGTGAGACATCATTAATGTTTTTTAATTGCTCCATTTTGAACAAAGATAATTCAATTTCAGATAAAATGGCACAGGAATTTGCCATCAAAAAAGAGGAAATGCAGATATTTTTAAACAGCTTTATTGAGGTATAATTTACATACCATCCATTGTAGGAGTACAATTGAATGATTTTAATAAATTTCCTGAGTCATGCTACCCTCGTGATGGTCCAGTTTTAGAATGTTTCCATCACTCCACAAATGCAAGTGGTTTTCTGGGCTGGGCTTTCTGGTAAAATCCATACCCAGACTGCTAACATGCTCCCACCCAATCCCAAACCAATTCCAGGCAAAGACAATGTAAAGGCCAGTTTATGGGCTAGCTCCAGTGGCCTAGTGGTTAAGTTTGGCACACTCCACTTCTGTGGGCTGGGTTTGGTTCCCGGGTGCAGACCTACACCACTTATCTGTGGCCATGTTGTCACAGAGGCTCACATACAAAAAGAGGAAGATCGGCAAAGATGCTAGCTCAGGGCCAATCTTCCTCAGCAAAAAAGGAGGAAGACTGGCAATAGATGTTAGCTCAGGGCAAATCTTCCTCAGTAAAAAAAACATAAAAAGACCAGTTCAGCTATCCAGCCACTTGTCCAGCTCACCCCAAAACTGTCAACATTCTTCCTTTCTATCCCCATGCCTCCAATTGGTGAGAACCTTGGCTCATCCTGGTTCCTGGACTCACTTTTCCCTTCCCCCCTCTCCTCCGTATGCTCCAAGTAGCCACTCTGAGCTGGAGGCTGACCTTGTTTTCTGGGGCTCTGGGCTTTGACAAGCCCCACCTTTCCAGAGCCAACCCCAGCATGCAGAAGCCTTCCATCCCACATCCTTCAGTCTAGTTCCACCTTGGAATGGAGGCTATTTCCTGCTGCTCCAGTCTGACACAATACAGCTGGGCTCTCAGAATTGAAAAGTGCAATTTTCCATGGCACTTTGGGAGTTCCTGTCTGGTATTCTTGGGTATTTCCCTTGGAGTGGAGTTCAGACTGTTTTGGAACAAATAACTCTTCCACCTTCTCCATAGGTCTGCCTTTGCCTCTTCAGCCAGTCTCTTCCCTACTTGGCCAGTAAAGCTGGTCAGGGGTCCTCAGGGTACTGGTCCTGGTGGACTTGCTCTCTGTGGTCTTCTGAAGCTATGGGGAAGGCCCCCTTCCCTTTTCTACTTGGGAGGGTATAGATTTCTGTCTGCTTTGTTCACTGATGTATTCCAAGCCCCTAGATCAGTACCTGACCCATTGCTGGCATTAATCAAATTTTTTGAATTACATGGAACTGGAGAGCTGTAGGCCCCTTGAAGGGGCTGTCTGAAGAGGGCAGGAGTGGTCTCAATTCCCTCCCACCTTGGTAGCTGGGGAGCCCTTTGGCAGATAGGTCTTATTTGATCTATTTTAAGCTTCTTACAGAAGTTTGGGTCTCATTTCTCTGATGACCCCTGGTCCATGGGGCCAGCTCCTGGGCTGGTCTGCCCTTCCACAGAGCTTTCCTGAACCTCCCTTGTTCCTCTCCTCCGCCAGTCTTTGGTGCTTTTCAGCTGGGTCAGTTCCCCAGACTGGACCCATAATGCCAAGTGAGCCAGCCCATTCTGAGCCATTTGGGCAGCTACTTCAACCACTGCTAGGCTGCCTTTTGGGGTTGGGATCTCCCAAATCCTCCTTCTGGCCTAGCCTCCCACCAAACAGGGCTCCTTAATTCCACTCCCCCTAGAATCCTGGGGGTGGGGTGGGGTTCACCTTCAGCACACAGCTTTCAGGTCCCTCTCCCCACCAGGATTCTGGCCTCCTCCCCAGTTTTATAGCCAGCTTAATTTCTGGCGTGACCAAAGCCTTCTCCTTCCCTCCTCGTAGTGTGCCCCAGGCCTTTCCCTTCTTCAGCGGGGCGGGGGGGGGGGGGGGGGGGGGGGGGAGGGGAATGCTACAATCTAGCCCATCCTCTGTTAGAAGGATTCTGCATTCCTGGCCCTATCAGCGTGAGCATTAAGGGGCACTGCCGTGGTTGTCCCCTTCCCCAGTGATCCGTTCTAGGGGAGGCCATTCTGGGTCCAAGGGCTGGGTTAACAGGCCCCCAGGCCTGCCTGCCCAGAGGCCCTAGCATTCCCTCGCGCCTGCTCCTGACTGTGTCTGGTAGAGAAGCAGGTAAGTGAGCCCAGGCTGACCGGCCAGGCCAGGGAGGCGGTCCGGTGCGGAGGGCGGCTCCAATAGGCGGCGGGGGCGTGGCGAGCGGGGGGCGGTGCCGCGGGCGGAGTTGGGTTGTGGGAGGGCTTGACGGCGGCGCCGAGGGCGGGTCTAAGAGCGGGTCTGACGGCGGAGTCTGCTTGGGGGCGTGGCCAAGGACACAGCGGAGGCGCCGAGAGCGGCCGGGTATAGGGGCGGAGTCGGGCTGTGGGCGGGTCCGAGGGCAGGGTCCAATTGGGGGCGGGTCTGAGGGCGGGTCTGAGGGCGGGCCTGGGGGCCGGACTCGCCTGGCGCCGGGTTGCGGGCGGGCCGCGAGCTCTGCGGAGGGCCGGACTAGGCGAGCCCGGGGCGGAGCCGAGGCCCGCGGGGCTCCGGGCCGGCCCGGGGCGGGGCGGGGCTGGGGCCGGCGCTCGCGGCGCCTCTTCCTCAGGTGTTGCGGCGGTTCCACGTCGCCAAGCGGCCCGCGGCTTCCTTGAGCCCAGGCCGCCCTCAGCGTTCCGCGCGCCGGCCCTTCGGCACCCGCGCGGCCATGGCGGGGCCGGGCCCGGGCCCAGGGGACCCGGACGAGCAGTACGATTTCCTGTTCAAGCTGGTGCTGGTGGGCGACGCGAGCGTGGGCAAGACGTGCGTGGTGCAGCGCTTCAAGACCGGCGCCTTCTCGGAGCGCCAGGGCAGCACCATCGGCGTCGACTTCACCATGAAGACGCTGGAGATCCAGGGCAAGCGGGTCAAGGTGGGAGGCCGGCCTGGCCCTCTCGGGCAGCCGCGCCGCCCGGGCTCTGACGGTCTTGGGGCTGGGCCAGGGACCCCGGAAGGTTCTCCCTCAGCGAGGGGACGCGAGCGCCCCGGGTCGTCCCGAGGTTACTGGCAAATCCCTTGTGCCTCCCTTCCCCTTCCTCCTGTCGGAGCAGGCCTGAGCCTTGGGGTCGGGGCGGGTTCGGGGCGCCGGGCGCCGGCCTGGGGTGGGGTGCGTGCGTGTGCCCGAGCCGGAGGCCCTGCGTCCCCGAGCTCGCGTCCTGGGGGGACTTGGCTCCAAAATCGCTTCGCCAGTGGAAGGCAGCGGGGCTGCTCGGAGTGCGGGGGACGGAGGGCGCCTGGCCGGCGTGACCCTCCCACCGCGGTCGCAGCCCCCAGCTCGGCCCTCGGGTGGGGAGCCCCTCCAGAAGCTACCCCCCTCCACGCCCCGGAGGGATCAGGAAGTAGTTGCTTCTGGGACCCGAGGGCCAGAACTTTTTGTCGGTTTCCGGCCTGGCCACGCCTCCCCGCAGTCTCTTTGTGGCCCGGGCGGTGGAACTTTACTCCGCAGGGGCCGCTCTGGTCCCCGCCCCCGGCGAGAGTTGGATGGAAACGACTTCACAGATGCCGGAAGGTGGGGGAGACCGTCAGGCGTGGCCGCGGCTCCGACAGAAACAGCAGGATGCAGTTGCCACAGTGTCCTGGCAGCGGTTTGGTAAACAGTGTTGGTGATTAGTGAATCAGAGTGTCTTAACCTGGTGTCAGCCCTCCCTCGTGGAGCGGGAGACCGTGGCAGGACGAGCGTCGTTCCTGCTCAGTAGCTTCGCTTGACTGTGCTGTTAGAAACCCTTCCCGTGCTCTCCGGGTTTCGAGTTCACGTGACCTCCAGGACAGCCCTTAAGAGCGCTGGGCAGGGGCAGCACGGGCGAGTGTTAGCTGCTGTTATCGCCATGTTTTCGAGAAACTGAGCCGGGGTGATGGGAGTCCCTTGAGCCCTGATGCTGTGGCGCTCTGCCTCCCCGGGCTGCTCTAGGCCTGCTTGTGGTTGCCTTTCGCTAGGATACTTAGCTCTTTGTTTCTGCAAGACTGGGATAATTTCTGGGTGTTGCCTCCCTCCTGCCCCACCATGGAGGAAAAGTAAGCCAACAGTCTTTATATGACCACAGTGCCTCTAGAGTAGATGTGACAGGGGAAGCGGAAACTCCCTGCCTGAAGAGTTTTTTTGAAAAATAGTCTTTGGGGTTTCTGTGTGTTTTTGGTCTCCTTGGGATAGGAAAAAAGAGCAAAGTGTGGCAGGCGGCTTTGAGTCATTACTTGGGACCATCCCTTTAGAGCAGGTGGTGAGGGGAGGGCTGTGGGATAGGTGGAGTGTGTCCCTGGACGGGTCTGCCCTGTGATGCCAGCAGCCGCAGGGAAAGTGGAGTGTTAAAATATAGGCATAAACAGCAGCGGTGTCCTTGCAGGCTGTTGGCCTCTCCCGCTCCAGTGTTTGTGGTGGCCCTGTGCTGACCGTGGTCAAGGAGGGGGCAGAGTGTTCCTGTTTACCTGGCGAGATAGCAACCTGTGCGGAGCCCAGGGTGTACTGTGTACCTGAGCACAGGTTATGCAATACAGGGCAGGCGGTTCGTGATTTCTTTTCCTGATGGTCACCTCCAGGTTGTTCTAATTCAGGAAGCAGCCTGGCGAGACTGGGAATGGGGGAACAGTGTAGGTATGGTAAAGCCCTTAATAGTTATCATCACCGTCCTGCTTGAGAATCAGTTGTGTGCCAGCTGTTTTACAGATGTGTTATTAACCCCTTCTCACGCAGGACAGGCTTGCTGCAGGGCACCCAGCTAGTAAGTGACAGAGGTGGGAATTTTTCTTACGGTTTTTCTGATTCCAAATTGTTGAGGTCTTTCCCCTACACGAGACTGCTTCTTAGAGTTTGATTGTTTGGAGTGGGAAAGCCTTTGGCAATTATTTACCTGCTGGTTTTGCAGTCAGAGGAACCTGAAGCCCAGTGCACTGAAGAGGCTCTGAACTGAAACTGAGCAGCAGTGGGCGGGGGACAATCTCTCAAGTCAGGATTTCTGGGCTCTCCTGACTCAGCAGGAGCAAGTCGTTTTTCCTCTCTCCAGTCTGTTTGCTCATCTGTAAAATACCTGTGAGGTGTCTTCCAGCAATGTGATTTAAAAAAAAAAAAATAGAGTTTATTTGTTTACTTATTTTTTCTTCTTCTTCTCTCCAAAGTCCCCTGGTACATAGTTGTATATTCTGGTTGTGAGTGCCTCTGGTTGTGCTATGTGGGACGCTGCCTCAGCATGGCCTGATGAACAATGCCATGTCAGCGCCCAGGACCCGAACCAGCAAAACCCTGGGCTGCCAAAGTGGAGCTTGCGAACATAACCACTTGGCCACAGGGCTGGCCAAAAATCGGGTTTACTGAGGTTTAATTTACACACATTGAACTTTACCCATTTTAGGTGTACAGTTCTGTGAATTTTGACAAACGTATGTAGTCCTGTAACCATCACAATCGAGGCATAGAATACTTCCATCAGCCCAGAAAGTTCCCCTGTGTCCCTTTGTGTCAGTGTCCTCCCTTTTCCCCAGCCCCTGGCAACCACTGATCTGTTTTCCGTCCCTATAGTTTCAGCAGTGTGATTTTAACTGGAACCTTTGATGAGCCAGATTTCGTTGTTGTTTCTGTAGAAAGCATGTCCACGTCAGGGATTTAGTTTACACCCCTTCCAGGGCCTGTCCGGGGTCCAATAAGCGTCCAGCGTGCTCTCCTAAACCTCCTCTCCCTGTATTGCTGGCTTTTGTTGGAGCTTGAGGAACCTTAGAGGTACATCACCTAGGGGTTTTCAACTCTGAGCTCCGTGCTTGGGCTAAAGGGAGAAGGTCAAGAGGCCACAGGTTCAGAAGGACCTCAACTAGCTTCGCACCCGACCAGAACAGTATTACTTTTATCTAGTTTTATATTGAGGGTTTCTGGGCTCTACTGTTTTGTATTTGACTAAAGAGTTCTGCTGTTAAAAAATAAAAAAGTGTGAGGGGCCAGCCCAGTGGCGCAGCGGTTAAGTTCACACGTTCCGCTTCGGTGGCCCGGGGTTCACCGGTTCGGATCCCGGGTGCAGACATGGCACCACTCATCAAGCCACGCTGAGGTAAGGGTCCCACATATAAAGTAGAGGAAGACTTGCACAGATGTCAGCTGAGGGCCAATCTTCCTCAGCAAAAAGAGGAAGATTGGTGGTGGATGTCACCTCAGGGCTAATCTTCCTCAAAAAAAGTAAAAAATAAAAAAACAAAAAAGTTTAAAACCTCACAGATCTAATTAAATGCCTTTATTTCTGCAGTCACTTCCCATTGCAACCAGAATAGCATCCAAACTCCTTACCTGAAGAGATGGGCTGCTGTCAGCCTTGCCAACTTCCTCTCCCTCCTTTTGCCCCTCATTCACCACTCTCCAGCCTCGATAGCCCTTTTGATCCTTCAAATATGTCTGCCTCAGACCCTTTGTGTCTGTCCGCCTGCCTGTCATACTCTGCCCCGAGATCCCTGTGTAATGGCCACTTCATCATTCAGCTCCCACTGTGAATGCCACCGCTTTGGAGAGAGGCCTTCCCCGACCTCCCAGACCCTCGATCCCATTCCGGGATAAGATCAGGAGTAAGTTCATAGCATTTTCCAGGACTTGAAATTGCCTCGTTTGTTGGTCTCCTCCTGTACAGTGTCAGCTCCTTGAAAGCGCAGGGATCCAGTCTGCCTGGTGTACCTGCCAATCGCTACACCTACACCAGTATCAGACATGTGGTGTTCAATATGTGTCTGTTAATTGATTTTTATTTATGAAGAGGAAGCTGAGGCCAAAATAAGTGAAGAGACCGGCATGCCCAAGGCCACACACAAGTCAGTGGCAAAACCAGGATTTGAACCCAGGGTCTGCCTGGCCCCTAAGCCCCGTGCTCATTTTTACATTTGATCACCCTTCTGAGTCCCTCTGAGTTCATAATGATGACCCCAAGATTCTGCAAGTTAATGAATCTAGTAAAAATGCAGTTGTGGCCAATGCACTTTGAGGGAAGAATGTGGACTTGGGCATTTTATGGATTTTTTCAGTAATAAAAGTTGAAACCCCAAAGAGTTTCAGGGTGTTTGTCAGCTAACAAAACACCTTGCCAGCCCCAAACAGCTCACATAGCCTGCTCTGCTGGTGAGTAAGGCTCTGTATGTGTGATGAGTTCCTGCGCCCTACCCTGTGTGAATTCATTTGGCTCTAGCTATGCAAACTGAACTTGGAGAGTGAATCTGGGTGCTGCTATTCCTTCAAACTGTGGAGTCCCTGAAAGAGAACACTGGATTAGGATTCTGAAGGTCTGGGTTGTATATCCAACCCCTCCACAACCACGGCCAATTCCTTTTCCCTTCTTGGAGCCCCAGGCTTCCTCATCTGTGAAATGGGACTAATGATCTTCGCTCTGCGTACTTCTTAGAGTTGTTGGAAAACTATGGACGCGATTAAAATAGTTTAAAATTCCCTTTATATATTTTTCAATATATAATCCATCCACCTGGTTCAGAAATTGAAAATGTCAAAGACGTTAAAGGGATATAATAAAGAGTCGCCCTTCCACCTTTGCCCCCCAAGCCACCCACTGCCCTCTAAGAAGAGGCAGTCAGTGTTACCTATTTCTTGTTATCCTGAAAGTGCAATTGTAAATAAAACCAAAGAATTACAAATATAAGGAATTATCTTATTATTGCTGTTGTTACCATTTTCCTCCTTAGGTTAGACAGATTATTTCTTAACGTGTCCCTCCTCAACCCCTCACTCCTCCCCGCCTCACTGTCCCCCAGGAAATCTCAGCTGCTTCTCTACTCATTCTTATCTGGGACGACACAAAGGCCTGTTATGTAAACTCGTTTTTGCAGATCACTGGGGACACAGGTCTCTAGTCCACACACAAAGGTTAGCCTTGTAGCCTTGTACCCCTGTGTTTAGTTCTCTAT